TATATATATATATATATATATATATATATATATATATATAACCTCAGCATTGCTCGTCCGATTGCCCCACTAGATTCGTGCTGCGTAAACAGCGACGTACGGCACACAGTCGGTTACTGACTGGAATCCAGTCGAGAAGCGAGCGTTCAGTCTTGCTACTTAGCGCAATCCCGACACCAGTAACACCGCGAGCTTCGGATGCCAAATCGCTTGGCACACGAAGGGTGAAGCGTGAGGTTGAGGTTGAATCAGGAGAACGAAGGGAGATAATGGAAGTGTGGTCTTGTATGCGTGTTTCGGAGACACAACATACTTCTAAATTGAAGGTTTCAAGGGTTCTAGCTAAGGCAGCTTGTGGACCGATCTGATACAGTGCGCGGACATTGAACGCGGCTAAGTGAAAAGCGCATTTCGACTTCAAAAATCCTGTAACTTCTGATTGTCTGGATTTGTTGGGAAAACGCTGAGTGATATCCTATGGGTCTTGTAAACAGCAGGAGTTTCGGATTATTCAGGATTGACAGGAAGAACTAGACAGATGGGAAGGAGGGTTTTCCAAATGGGTGCCTAAGACTTTAGGGCACGACATACTTCGCGGTAGCCCACATCGACGAAGCGATTTTTCTCTGGGAACCCTAACCGGAGCCTCTGACTCAAAAATCTGACCCGCAAGGCAATGAGGCGTAAATCCAACGCGGGAGCGTGAACGAAGCACCCGTGTGGAAGATTCTGCAGACCTGTCACGCATGGCCTTTGAATTTCGATTAGTTGTGTTGTCCGCTGGTGCGTTGGTTATCGGTTCGCTTTTCGGGATCGGCCCACAGCCTCATGCACCCAATGAGACAAGCGGAACGTGAATGGGACAGCACCTTATTGGCTGGGGGCTGCCCAGCTTGGGCGGGTGGTAGCTGTCAAATGAAGTACGAAGACTTCTCCCACCGTCGAGAGGAAGCCCCAGGTATTCCGCTCCTAGGTCCACCTAGCGGGGTTTTTGACTGGTAAACTTCCCCTCACCGTATTTATTTGCTGCAGTGACCTCTCCAGGGGCGGGTGTGGATAGAAGAAGGAAGCCAGGAGGTGTCTAAGCAGCTGGCTTTATGAGACTGGTCTTCTTCTGGCCTCTATCCGTTGACCTTTCAGGTATGATTGGATCTGAGGCTGTGAGGAGCCATCCTGTATAGCTCGCAGGGTCATGGAGGCCCGCAAGCCATCACACCACGTCAAGGTGCAGTCTCGTCGTGATGACCATACAGGTTCACATTCTTTGACGAACTCCAATCAGGTTTAATCCCCGTCCACGTTACACATTTTTAGTTCGTGTACCTTGTGAGCTTTCGGGTGATCAGCGAAGTTTGCTTCACTGTATACCACCGGACGATGATAATCCATTCTGATAGCAACTCCCCTCCCTCATGCACTGTCTTCCTGTTAATTAATCTCCCCCATATACACTCACACCATCAAATCTTCGTCAATCTTGGTTCCCTCATATAAATCGCTATGTTTACAACTTTGTTGTTGGTAATCGCTGATAGACCACAGCCTACTTTTTATGCAATTCGATAGCACACATTTATAACAAAATACACTAAGGTGAAAAGTATTGCTATTATTTTTACTTCGCATTGAAATGATGCGATTATTCAGTCCCTTTTTCCATCCCATCCCCAAGAATGGACAAGTGACCATTTCGAAGCCCAAAAATGGAATACATCAAAACTGAAATTACAAATGCTCTGTATTAGGAATTACTATCTTGTTTATAATGCCCAATCTTAGTACAGGTTTTATTAAGGTCAGCGAATATTCCTGAAATAGTCACTGGGCTTTAGTCCGTTTGAACAGTTGTTTCTCATGCGCTAACTCGGTGGTAGGTATAAATATGTTCAGAAATTACCAAACCACTAGTTCATAACTCCATGAGGAGCCCAGAAACTAAGTTACGGATGATTGATTTCCATTTTACTTTGCAAAAACGATTACACGGAGAAACTCAGACAAATGGTGACATTTCCCAACACGCCTGAGTTCGCCATGATCTATTTTCATGTTCACACTGGACCGCTAAATTCAACCCTTGGTGGCATACGTTAACGTAGAACCACACTCTTCCCCAATGAAACACTTTCGCAGTTTATCTGTCGCCGCCTTTATGCCTTGAGAATATCCGTTGACCCGTTCCAATGGAAGCCGATTGTGCCACAGTACGAGATTAACGTCCGTCACAACCGCAAGTCACCTGGTTAGTTCCCTTAGTTACTCGATTGTCCGACCGACCGCGAAACCCGTTGAGATCACCACGACCAACCGTTAGTCGACAGGGGTCTAAGTTGACAGTTTTCCGAAAACTTTTATTCTCATCTCTGAACCTTTTCATTACAATCATCAATCGAAGAATAAATTTTCCTTAAAGAACAACTATGTAAAGGAAACACTTGAATCGCAAACACAGTGTACCGCTTCATCAACTTTCAAGAAAGTACCTTAAATCCTGTCTGTGTTAAACCGATCAGGGCATGTGTCATGATGAAAAATTAACTAATCTATGATTTCACAGCTGGTGATTGAATAGTGGTAGTCTAGCCCGAACCACAAACTTTCAGACACAAGTATAACTCTACCATGATTATCTTTAATTTTTAATGTGTAATCAAAAGCCACTGGGATTTCGTAAAAACTTACCGCCGATTTGGATGTACGAAGCTCGAAATGTTCAGAAATATAGTGCGACAAACGTCGATGAGCCATATGCTGACGGATTCGACTGGCCAGCATGGAATAGGCGAAACGAATATGCAAAAACACGATCAGGCTGGCCACTGAAAAAATCCGACTCCACAGAAGCAAATGCAAGTAGTGCGCGATCTCCACAAGTCGATAGACTAGAACATGAATCAGATCCAGATAGTATGAGAAAGTGGTTTGTTGTGGCCAACTCCGACCATGGGCCAACTGCCACCGGTCATATGCTTGAATCAAAAATCCACCAAGCAGATGAACGATCAAGCAAAACAGCAGCATTGATTCAGCAAGAATATAAGCCACTACATCCACCGCATCATAGATTAGTTCCCGTCGACCAGTTAGTTTGGATTTCAATACACCAAGTGCTGTCGGAGTCTTAAAAGCACTGTTCAACGAACGTCCGGTAGTGGATTCGTTCGCACTATCAGTAACATCGATATCAGCAAGCAAGAAACTGTGATACAATCCGCCTCGAAACACATACCAGTTACCAATGAGGAGGAAAGCCAGAGCGAATGACAAGCGCAACCACTCACGACGAGTGACCAGTGAGGAAGCAGCCAATTGATTACATCGTGACATTGCGGTCAATGCGCACGCATGCAGTAGCCCGATCGCACCGAACCATACCAGCCAGCCAAACACGCTAGACAGGCGGGACACGTTAATCGCCCCGGACAAAATGATCACACGAAACACGGTGAAACGAAACAGCAATCGGGACAGATTGCTCCGTTCGACTTCGCTCAACGATCCGAAAAAGACAAACTGTAACAATTTGCCCACAATGAAAATCACACTGAACAGACTGAATACACAGGGTATGAAAATCGACTTGATTTCGAGCATCGAGGCGGAGAAACCAGTATCGTCTGTTGTGATGGAACCAGCTGAAACATTTGCACCATCCGCGATCTCCTCAACTTGCTGGTCGACCAGATCATCTCCGCTTAGGTCAGGATTCAGGATTAGTTCAACAATGCAAACGAAGAGAGATACAATATACAGGATGAGAAACAGACGCATTTCTGAGCGAAAAGGCCACATGATGAACCGTAGTACTGTTTGAACTCCGGGACCAGCTATTACGAGGACCATTGTGATGGACACGGAAAACCAAACAGACTGCACGAAGGTAGGGTCGAATTGCAATCGAACAAACAACCCGAGTTCAGTTGATAATGCGTTTCCGGTTGTCGGCCACAACAATAAGATGAAAATCCAAGCCTCACGTTTAGTGTAGTTTCTTCAGAGAGTACCACATTCTGAACGGATAATGTACTGGAAAGCAACAGTGGCGAGAATGCGTTACACAAATGAACAAGCAATCGAAGAGATTCGAAATCCGATAAAAAATTTTATTATTCATGAACATGTGTGCCGGCCACAAAAATACGGCCTCAAATAACAACAACCCTTACATGCACAAACAATTTGGGTGCGACAAGGTATTCTAAGGAATGGAAATATAAGAAAGACTAGATGGAACAGAATCAGACATGTAGAACGGCGAAAACCGACAAAGTGATGTTGACTGTGAAATGTAACTGGCTAAGATTATTACAAACAACGTCATATTGTGTAATGAGCTTCGGAAGTGATAAGCCCTTTAGTGACGAAGATCTACTATTCAGTCATAAAAACGAGCAAACTGAGCTCCGAAACTCGAAATGGTGAATCACACGATCCACTAACAAAGGCGTGATATTGACCAGGACGACAGAAAAGCTACTTACAACAATAGTCAGATGGTGGTTCAGATCAGTTCAGTTCTTACAACCATTAACCATCCACACTTTCGCGCGCCGGTTTTGGTTGCAGTCTTTTGGTTGCGCATTTGGATAATACAGCAGAATGAAGATTAGAATGTTGGGAGCAAATTCAACGGGAAGACAGAAAATTCCTATAGACTGAAGTTGCAAGAATAATGAGTAAATGCGGTGGATGGGCTCCAACCTCGGAAACTACGGCCTAACGCAGGCGGTAACATTGATTCGAACCGATCAACTAACACTATCACCCAGTGATTACTGAAGCTGTAAACGATGAGAAAAACTGAAAGCACTCGACAACAGTTAAAGTGAAAATACTGTTTACAAATCAATCTAAATAAGATACAGGGAAGTAGTGCTAAAATGCCAATTATTCAATTCAATGAAATATAAATCGGTTACTTGCGATCAATAGTCCTCGAAATCCCCGGCACAATTACGTGCAGATGAGATCTCTCTCTTACACCAAGAAATAATCTCACGGAGTGCGTCACGCAAAATGATTCTTAGGGAAGTTATACTAACTGTCTTCACTTGGCCACCGTGTTTTAACATAAGTGCGAGGACTGAATGCTTACGTCGGGGATACGACCGGGTTGGAGAGGAACAGGTGGTTAGCTCGTCCCAGCTTCAGTTTCAGTTTGTACAACAATTAACCACGCATATTCGTGCGCCAGTTTTGGTTGCTGTCTTTTGGCTACCCATTTCGATGAAGAATAGGAGAAGAAAGGAAAGTTGAAAGTGGAG